GCTTTTAGAACTCGATATGGACACTACGAGTTTACGGTGATGCCGTTTGGGCTAACCAATGCACCTGCAGTGTTCATGGACCTGATGAATCGAGTGTTTCATCAATACTTGGATCAATTTGTCATAGTCTTCATCGATGACATTCTGATATCTTTCAAGAGTAAGGAGCATCATGAAGAGCACTTGAGAATAGCCTTAGAGGTATTACGCAAGGAGAAGCTGTATGCCAAATTCAAGAAGTACGAGTTTTGGCTTGAACGAGTTGGATTTCTTGGACATGTAGTTACTGCCCAAGGGATTGAAGTAGATCCAGCAAAAGTAGAAGCAATAACCAACTGGAAAGCACCAACAAATGCTGGCGAAGTACGGAGTTTTCTAGGATTGGCTGGATATTATAGGAGATTCATAGAAGGATTCTCCAAAATAGTTGGACCAATGACGCGGCTTACAAGGAAGGGAGTAAAATTCCAATGGACGAAAAATGCAAACAAAGTTTCCAAGAACTTAAGCAGAAGTTGATATCAGTACCTGTATTAACAATACCTGAAGGTACGGAAGGGTTTGTTACAGCGACTCATCCAAGCGAGGATTGGGATGTGTACTAATGCAGAATGGAAAAATGAGAGCCTATGCTTCAAGACAATTGAAGAAACATGAGCAGAACTACTCGACACATGATTTAGAACTTGCAGCGGTCGTACACGCTTTGAAGATATGGCGACACTACTTGTATGGATGGAAGTATGATATCTACACACATCACAAAAGTCTCAAGTATTTCTTCACACAGAAGGAATTGAATATGCGACAAAGACGATGGTTGGAATTGGTGAACGATTACGACTGCACTATTCACTACCATCCGGGTAAGGCTAATGTTGTGGCCGACGCTCTAAGTAGAAAATCGATGGGACAATTGACGTCACTACCCACCTCTCAGGTGGAGTTAGTCAAGGACTTGAAAAAGTTGCAGATCGAAGTGGTTACCACACTAGGACAAGTCCCTGCTCGTCTAGCAACTTTAATAATTCGACCTACTCTTAGAGATCGAATTATAGAGGCACAAAATAAAGACTCATTTTTACAGAAGATTAAGAATGAAGTTGGTACCGATAAGAAAAAGGACTTTGGAATAGCTGAGGATCAAGCACTGATATTTAGAGGAAGAATTTGCGTGCCTAAGGATGAAGCCTTAAGAAACGAGATATTAAAAGAAGCTCATTCCACCCAGTACACCACACATCCTGGTGGTACGAAAATGTATCGAGATCTTCGAGATACATTTTGGTGGAGAAATATGAAAAGAAGTATAGGGCTATACGTGCAGAAGTACATGGTATGTCAACAGGTTAAGGCAGAACACCAAAAACCAACTGGATTGTTAAATCCAATAGATATACCTGAATAGAAATGGAAAAATATCACGATGGACTTTGTGGTTGGATTCCCGAAGTCAGCAAGAGGAAATAATACTATATGGATAGTAGTGGATTGACTAACGAAGTCGGCTCATTTTCTTCCAGTGAAAATGACATTCAGTTTAGACCAATTGGCACAGTTGTACATTAAAAAGGTTGTGAGATTACACGGTGTACTTGTATCCATTGTGTCTGACAGAGACCCAAGGTTCACGTCCAAATTTTGGAAAAGTCTACAAAGAGCTATGGGAACGAAGCTGAACTTTTGTACTTCATATCACCCTCAGTCCGATGGTCAGTCTGAAAGTACCATCCAAACTTTAGAAGACATGCTAAGAACATGTGTTTTGGATCTAGGAGGTAATTGGGAGTCATACTTACCTCTAATAGAGTTCGCTTATAATAACAGTTTCCAAGCAACTATTGGAATGGCACCATACGAAGCTCTCTATGGTAGAAGATGTAGATCCCCTGTTCATTGGGATGAAGTCGGAGAGAAGAGAGTTTTAGGACAAAAAATAGTTGAAAGGACGGTCGAGGTAATCGATAAGATCCATACAAGAATAAAGGCAGCACAAGATCGATAAAAGAGCTATGTAAATACAAGGAGGAAGGATTTAGAATTCCAAGTTAGGGATAAAGTGTTTCTGAAAGTAGCACCGATGAAAGGTGTACTTAGATTTGGAAAGAAAGGCAAGCTACGACCTCGGTATATCGGACCTTTCAAGATACTTGATAGAGTCGAAAATCTGGCTTACCGACTAGCTTTGCCACCTGAATTATCGGCAGTGCACAATGTGTTCCATATATCGATGATAAAGAAGTATGTACATGATCCTAATCATGTAGTGAGTTATCAAACTTTGGAGGTACAGAAAGATTTGTCGTACGAGGAACTACCGATTAAGATATTGGATCGAAAAGTGCATAAAGAGATTCAGCTGGTTAAGATACAATGGAATCATCACGGCATAGAAGAAGCCACTGGGGAAAAAGAAGAAGAAGCAAAAGACAAGTATCCAACACTATTCGCCCAATCAGAAGGTAAATTCCGAGGACGAAATTTTAATTAAGGTGTGGGGGATGTAGAACCTCAAATAATTCTAGACACCTTAGTGGCACTAAGACATGAATATTGGATTACTAAAGTATACTTCAGATTTTTAGTCTCATTTGAGACCCATTTTCAACATAGGAAACATTCGATTTGGAAAGTGATATCTAAATAAAAGTTGTAACTCTTTGAGTTAGCTTTCCAACGCACTTTGATTACCTCGATCGGATATCGGGAAAAGAAGTTATGATAAAAACACTGAAGGCTATGCAGTGTCAACCGAACTACAACCAGTCGACCGAAACTGCCTGAAATGAAAATTCTCATTTTTCTCTAGAATTTAAGTATTTATTTTCATTATTTTCTCAAAGGGCCACCCACGTTTTTGACAATAAAAACCTCACTAAATTGAAGTATTTAACCTCAAACTTAAATGGCACCCATGTTTTCTCTCTTAAATGAAATTTGACCCTTCATTTACTTTAAGTTACGGGATATTTCCCTATAAATAGAGACCTCATTTTACTCATTTTTCTCACACCAAAAGCAAGAGCTTTTAAATACTAAAGAAAGAGTTTCCAAGAGAGAAAAAGAGAGGGAGGAAAATTATTTTTCCTAGAAGTTTAAGAAGTATTTACAAGCATCAATTCTCAACGGTTTTCAAACATCCAAGAAGTACATTTCTTTCAACGTCCAAGTTTCATCGAAGTTTTCAATCCAAGTTTTCAAAGTTTTAAAAGCATCAATCAAGGTAGGTAGGGGTGCAATGTGTTTAATCGTGTTAAGTTATAAGTTTCGGTTCATGCTAATATTTGTATGTCAAATGGTACTCCGGTACGGCATATCCCTCTATGTTAATGGTTGTATATCAAATGGTACTCCGGTACGGCATACCCCTCTATGTTGAAGAAATGTTCGTATGTCAAATGGTGCCTTCGGGTACGGCATATCCCTTCATGTCAAATGGTGCCTCCAGGTACGGCATGTATGAAAAGTTATAAAGTTAATGTTTTGAAATGTATAGCTTGATCACGAATGCACCTATGACACCTATGAGTTTTTCAACTCACGGGTTTAATCACATCTCTACAGTTGAAGGAATTCTACATCGGGCACGGATGGAGGAGAAGATGGAGAGTGATGCAACAAGCTCATGGAAATCCGATGAATAAGTGATTTGGATTTATTTTTATGAAATGTTTTCCGAGGTTATTTCTTTAAAGTTTTGAATAACGCAGAATGCGAGAACAAGTTATGTTTTTTTCAAATAAATTACATTTTGTTGTTTGAAAAATGATTCAGTGTTTTTGTTTAAAGTATTTGAAGTATTGTTATTTAAATTATTATCTGAAGATGTAAGCTTCCGCTAAAACGTATACACTTGTTACTAAACCACCGATTAAGCTAAGTAAAGTAAGTAGCGTTCCGGTCCACTAGGGGTCGGAGCGTTACAACATTTTGTTAATTAAACGGGACTTCGATAATTAGTTATTTTCATGGAGATGAAATATTAGAACTAGATACAAGTGATCTTATTTAAAGTTATACTTAGAGGGTGAAATATTCTAAGGACATTTATTGTGATGACATTAGTAAAAGAATGTTATTCGGTCTTAGTATGAAACCATCGCTATATAAAAGGGAGTTGACTAGAGAATAGTTCAAATCATGACATAAGATAAAGTTTTGAAGAGTATAAAAATAGTATTTTGAACTTCAAATTGGGGAATAGCTGAATTTTTCTAAGATTTGATAAAATGAAAAGTTGAGAATTTCATATATCGGTCTTTGAGATATTATTTGGAACTTGGGTCAAATTGGTTAATGATGAGTTTACAATGAGGTTATCTGATATTTAATAATGTGTGGTATATTTCTAAGGCTTGGTAAGTAGATATCAGATTTAATTTACGCTATAAAATTGCTAGTGAAGTTAAAGAGAGCTTAGCCAGATAAGATGCCTAGATATGAAAGAATGAAGTTATGTATAGTTAAAGGTTGCTAGAAAAATTATTCATTATGTATGCTCTATACCTTTTATCTTCGAATCCCAATTGAATGAATTTCGATGATGAAATTCTTTTAAGGAAGTAAGATTGTTACACCCCATTTCATACTAGTCAAAAGTCAATATTATTTATTCAAAGTCAAAGGTTCGATTGGTCAAAGCCAAGGTCAATTAGGGACTTAGATGAAATTAAATCATTTTATTGGGATTTATTTTACAATTGACAATAATTGAAGGTTTAAGATGGATAAAATATAATTTTGGGGATCTAATTATATAGTATTGAATGATAAGGATTAAATAATATATTATGTGAGAGTTAGAGGACTTAAATGCAATTATTGGCATGAGTGGATCACAAGTGGCAAATGCTTAATTATTTACTCAATTTTCTCATTTTATACACACACACACACACCGGCTGAAAACAGGAGAAGGAAGCTGAAAAAATTGAGAAAGAAAGAAAAGAGAAAGGAAAGAGAGAAAGAAGAAAAGAAAGAAAGGAAAAAGGAAAAGGAAAAAAAAGGTAGGGTTGGCTATTCCAATTTCATCTTCAATTTGACAAATTTCTTGGTATGTTTTATGCTTAATTTTTTTAGGGTTGCAATTTATTGGTTTAATTTCCAGATTGAAGGAAAGGATATGTTTGCAAGCCAATATTTTGAATTGAAAAGGCTACTTATACTAAGGTATGAAATACCAATTTTGGAAAAAAATCTTGAATTTTTATTTGGGTTTTTGAATGAATATAGTTATCACGAATAATTGTAGAGATGAAATACTCATTTGAAGGCATGAATTTATGGAGCAAGATGGAAAATTAAATTGATTAAATTATAATTATTAGTTTTACTAGTTTGGAAGAAGGAATTATTTTTATGTTTGGAGTGAAGATTATTTTGATGAATTAGATTTTAATGAAAGGACTAGAAGGTAGAATTAGTTCCAAATATGAAGGAAATTAAAGAATATATCCAAGTGTCGAGAAGTCGTGTATTTCGTAGTTAAAAGTTAAGAATACTTGGTAGGGTGGTTGTTAAATTGGTTATCTTATATCATATTTTAGGAGATGACGAGAAGATTGAAATCATGACCTGTCCATAACTTGGTGAGTAGATATAAAAACTTATTTTTCAGAAATTAATATTTATTAAATTTATGTTATATTAGAAAATTTATTATTTCATACAGTTAATTTAACAACATGATTTTTAGAATAAAGTGGATTTATAATCAGTTATTTTTAAAGTTAATTTCAGTTCAGTAAAATCATTTTCTTAGCATGTTACATTCTTATTAAATAGTTCAGCATATTTAGAATTATTTTTTAAAAACCACCAGAAACTACCCAGGTGATTTTACCCCAATCTGCACTGGTGTGAATTTTTTTCCATAGTGTATGACTAGTTATAGTGATTTTACCCGCTCTGCACTATTGTGAATGTGTTTCCATAGTGTATGACCAAATTATCAGATTATCGAAGGTCTTTGGGATCCACTCTCGTACACATATAGGCTTTGGGCCGTGTACTAGGGTGATTAGTCTTTATGGCAGCTCTGTGTACGTATGACCAGATTATTAGAATATCATATTTGAGTGGCTTTGCCTTTTACATCGAGATTACTATGTAAATGAGTAAGGCTATTCATTGGGTACCTTTTTGGTATGATTTTTCAGTATTTCTACAGCTTATTAGATTTCAAATTATAGAATTCAGTTAATTCAGTTTCCAGAATAAAGCTTTCAGCTTATAGTATTGATTAGTAGCAATATTTCATAGATTTTCACGGATGTCATAATATTTATATTCTTTATATTTTATAGCTACTTATCTAGAATAAAGAACAAAGAATTTTATGATGTATTCATATTTGATTGTAAAAAGTGTTACCAAATTTCAGAATTTCTTAAAATTTCAATAGAGCAAGAATTTTCAGAAAATATGTATAAATGATAAAAGTATACTTAATTGCAAATCATCCACTCACTGAGTTACAAGTTCATGTTTTGCCATCCTTTTTCTGAGCAGATAGTAGCAGAGTTGAGTAGTCTTGGAGCCTGTCAATTCACCTAATTGAGCCACACATCAATAGTTGTATAGCCTACTTTATCAGATTATTATTTGATATCTTTAGTACGTTTGGGGACCTTTGGTTGTAGAGTAAAGTTATTATCGATTTGCTAGTATTCTATTTGAATAGTTTGGATTTTGAGGGGCTGGTGTACTTTGTTTTATATTATATTTATTGATTTGAGGAAAATTGGTAATTGTTCGGGTGATTTAAGTTCATATTTTAGGGCAAATTTTGTCAAAATTGAATTAAAAATATTTTTCAGTCAAGCAAGTCAAGTTGCCTTGATGATGGGTCCGACGTTTAGCTGGTATCTACCATCAGCGCACGACACGTGTCAGATCTACTAGGATGATTCAGACGAGTCATGTCACTTCCAATGTTTATAAACAAATTTGAGCATAATCTAAAATTAAGGGGAGACAACACGTACAAAGCCCATAGCTGCGTTTTCTCAAGGTTTCTATTCTCATAAAAATAAATAATCAATACTAAGAGCAAATCGATAAAAAAAAAAAAAAAAAAAAAAAAAAAAAAAAAAAAAAAAAAAAAAAAAAAAAAAAAAAAAAAAAAAAAAAAAAAAAAAAAAAAAAAAAAAAAAAACAGGGATAATTCAAGTACCTTAAAGCTTATGCATCAGCTTTGATATCAATTTTCTCTATTTCTTTGGAATTCGTGGTTTTCAGCTTTTTCGTGTATGAAGTAATTTCCTAAAGTAAGTGAAGAGGACTTCTTAGGCAATCCATCATCAAAATTTTTATCTCAACAAGTAAATCACCATCAATATCAATGCCTAACTTGGCAGCTTTCAACTGAGGATTCATATGGACGCCAATCTCTTCATAAGCTGGAAAAGAGTTCTGAATTTTTTCAGGCATCTTCATTGCCAGAGATTCACACACTTTTCGGATATTTCTTTCCATCGCTGTCTCAATAAGATTGATACAGCTGAAGATTTGACACCCCCATTGTCACTTCTACCTTGTTAGCCACTTAGCTTTTCAAACAATCTACTCGAAACGCAAATTCTTTGATATAATTTAATGCACAATCTGATAATTAGATCCAAGCACCAAATATCTAAGCATGCATACCAACTCAAGCTTCAAATTCAAACATTATCAGACCTCACAAATATCCAAATTCCGCTTTTAAAAATCCAGATGAGCAAAAATAACACTAGTTACAGGCTTCCAGCAACAAATATTCTAATAACGAACAAAATTATGAAATAGTGATAGTAAAGAAATTTTTATGCATTGCTAAAAGCATAAATAAAGAATCCTGATACTCCAGAAATAATCTTGACATGTAATTAGAGTGTTCGTCATGCATAAGTTTGCGTCAAGCTTCCTCCCGTGAGACCTCCAACATCCTGGCCTTTAACTCCTTGCGTTGCCGTCTCACAATTCCTTAATCTCTCAGCCTCTTTCTCCGCCAACTCCCTCTCTTGCAATGCCATCTCCCTACTACTACTTTTCCCTAAACCCAACTTCTCCTCCAGCATCCATCTGTTCCTCTTAACATCAGCACATCATCCGCACCATGAACAGGAATATTCCTATGAATGTTCTCTAATAAGTGGATTTTGTACACTTATTTATGCCAGTAAATTGAAGTATTTGTTAATAACTTGAATGAGTTATAGCTTAATTGTGTTTGTTACGTTGAAGTCAATACAAATTGGTAAAATTGGGAGAAATGAACGAAAAAAGGGCAAAAATGAAAGAAATTCAAAGTTTAGGGACCAAAAATGTAAACATTCAATAGTTTGGATCACCTATAATCAATTAGATGCAATTTGAAGTCAGAGGAGTGTAATATAGTTGAAGTATTTTCTCAGATAACTTTCAACAAAAGAAGTTATGCTCCGGATTTCTAGTCTCAAATTGAGACCCATTTTTTGGGTAGCAAATGTTCGAATTAGAAATATTGTACTCCTAGAAGAATTATATTCCTTTGAGTTATCTTTTCAACAAATGTTGAATCATCTCAACTGGATTTTGGAAAAGAGGGTTAGGACCAAAATACCAAAAACTGTTAAGGGACGACACTAAGCAAAACGGCATGCTCGCGTGGGACAATTCTAGCGTGTACTCAAACATCAAAAATTTGACCCGAGAACCATTTGAATCAATGGCGTGCGCACGATGGTTTTGCATGTGCGCGGGCGAGGTTTTTTCAGTAGACGAAACAGTAGTTTTGATTCGCAATGCAAATCTTTTTGGGACTCAAATTGGACTCGATTTTGACATATTTTCTGATTCTTATAAATAGAGAACATGGGTTACACATTGGGAAAAAAAACCCTCTCTCTTACCTCTTCATACACAATAATATCATCAAATTCATTAAGGACGAACGGTCAATTACTATAATTTGAGAAAAGAGATTAAGCACTAGCAAGAATTAAAGGTCACTTACATTAAGAAATTGAAGAATTCAATTTTTGACTTGAAGATCAATATTTTTTGTATTCTTTAATGATCCGGATTATATTTTTTCATTATTCTTCTTATAATTTATATGTTAATATACTAGGCTAGATCCACTTTTGATTGGATGAAAATAAACCTTATTTGTTATTTATTTCTAATTTAAGACCATAGTTATCAGACTCGACCCATTCATCGACCCAAAAAAAATCATTGGATCACCGGGTCGTGGTTCAACCGATGGGTCATTGCTAGATCGTAATTTTAATTAAAAAATACTTTTTAGAATGAAGGACAACAATCTTCCTAAATATAAAATATATATGTATTAGTTCACAATTGTAACAAAAGTTCAGGTGTTGCCACAATGGTTATGGATGTGATATTTTACTTCAAATGTCAAGGTTGAATCTCTGCCTTTGCATATTGAAGAAAAATTTTGCACCTGACTTTGTCATAAACCGGTTCAAGGTTCATCTAAATCCATCCAACTCGATCATGATATTGGGCAGTTCAATCGATCTTTGGCCGATTCACTTGCTAAATGTACCAATCATAGCAACCGGATCGGATCACAATCCCATTTGCCGATTTTCGGGTTGGAGCAGTCGGTTCGGTTCGATTTTAATAACTGTGTTCAAGACCATTAGTTCAGTTTTATTCTTGTATTTCTTGATTAATTTTGAAGTTAATAACCCAAATGGTCACTGAACTTTACAAAAAGTTTTCACTGGGTCACTGAACTTTAAAAATCATCCAAGTCGTCACTGAAATTTGCAAAAAGTTTCCACTAGATTACTAAACTTTAAAAATCATCACATTCATTACTAAACTTTGCAAAAAATTTCCCAGGGAATTAATAATTCATGACCTTGTGGAAATTTTTTGCAAAGTTCAGTGGCCCATTGGAAATCATTTGTAAAGTTTAGTGATAAATGTGGTGATTTTTAAAGTTCAGTGACCCCGTGTAAACTATTTCAAAGTTCAATAATGATTTTGGTGATTTTTAAAGTTCAATAATCCGATGAAAACTTTTTGTAAAGTTCCGTGACCATTTGGGTTATTAACCCATTAATTGTGTGTATCCATTGCATTATTTAATTAATGGGACACAAGTTAGAGAATTAGTTTCTTGTTGTAGTGTTGGGAGACTACAATAAGTTTAGAATGCGGTAAAATTAACATATGTGTAATAGATGATAGGAATAACATTTATCACGTGTGCAATCGTATAGATAATCTAAAATTTAATGCGTTTTAACCATTTGAATTCTGTCTGGAAATTTATTCATGTCGTGGTTAGGATATAATTAGTTTGTTTTGGAAAAAAGTTAAATATATTAGCTTTATCGATTGTCATGATCGCATGAATGGAACTAGATTACAAATCAAGGATTGGAATAGATAGCTATAGGTGAATTCTAGATCCAATACAATAGTCCATAATTTAATAAAAACCAAATTTTATTGCTTTGTTAGATTAATTTAGCAAAAAAATTAAAATTAAAATCTCTCTTTTGTTTCATATAATTCAAATTCCATACATAACTAATAAACTTAAATTGAAGTTATGATACTCTCAACTCACTCTATTACTTGTTAACGATCATGTACGCTCTGAGATTTTACCGAACATTCTCCACTATTTTCTTAGACTTTACGCACTTTAATAGAAAATTCTAGATGGGGATCATGTTCCCATCGCAAATCTTTCGAAGGGAATCCACAGTGGGCATTGAGGCCTTGATTAAAGAAGTAATTGTGCCTAAAGATCGATACCCCATTTCATTTTGAAGCCATTTCAAGATTTTCTCTGATTGGGCCGTCGAGTTCTGCAATGTAATACACCTCGAAGGCCAAAAAATTAAAAGGAAAGGAAAAAAAAAAAAAAGATCCTTTGTAGGATTTATGTAATAGGAAAAAATGTCTTAATATTCATCGGTCTTGACTTTAAAATCGTAATTCTTAAATGAAATAAAGACAAATTTTTACAATAGTAAAAGGGGCAGTTTCGAATCGAAAAATCAATAGATTGTGTAGTTTGGCTGGCGAAGGGAATAATTAAAGTTCAAATTCATTGAGAAATTTATCCCTGCATTAAATGGGAAATGCTCTAAAAAAATCATTTGAATGGACCAAATATATCAAAAGAAAAAAGAAGGGATTTTTAATTCTGTCCTAAAAAATGTAAAAAGGAAGAGTTTATATGTATATATACGTGTTCATGTATATCTCATAGCGTATTATAAAAGTTGCATCTTAGAGTGTACAGCAGAATGAGTGGTTAAAAGACAAATTTTTTTATGGACAATTGACAAAAATGCCTTTAAAGTTATGGGTCTTTTGAAAAATCACAAGAAAAGTTTTTTTGAAGTAAAAGATACTGTGTAAATTTTAAAAGTGACATCACCTTTTTAAAACAATGTCATTTTTAAAAGTTTAGTATCACTTTTTTATTAAAATGTTATATAAAATGTCTCTTTTATTAAAAGTGATGTTTCTCACTAGAAAAAGTGATAAAAAAAAAAATTCAAAATGACGATTGAAAAAAGTGACAAACACTAAAAATAAGTGATAAAAATTCAAAACAAATGACAATTATTACAAAAAGTGACAAAAATTCAAAAAAAGTGATAGAAATTTAAAAAAAAAATGATGAATTCAAAAAGTGATACAAATTTTAAAAAAGGTTA